ATTGTTCCCGATCAGATCCGTTTCTATCGGGCGTACCGCAGAAGTCTGTGTCCACCAACGACCGACTGTAGTCAAATGCTAGAGGTTGGGTAACTTCAATGCTTCCTGACAGTCTACCCGCTATCCGCACGAGATCTGATCCAGTCGTTTCGGACACACCATAGAAATTTGTATCCACAAACATCCACCCACCGGGAAACATCTCGACATCCCGAACACCCTCACTACCGGGGATTAGCGCTGTAGATACGCGCTGACCGTCGGGAACGTCGGTAAAGCGAACAAAACGACGCCGGGGGGATGTCGTAGACGAGCCTGAATGATTCGTCGGGGTCAACATCGAGAACTCCCTTTTCAAACCGCAATGCTGATCAGAGGGAGCTTCTGGGCTGCTGTCACAAGAACTACGTTCTCGAACATCGTCTTCTCCGTGTTGTCGTGACGGTGGCGGTGGCGTGACACAGTGGACAGATTGGACAGCCATTTGAAGACGATTCACAAGGAAACTGTACAACAAGAAAATGACGTCAACGTATGACGAGGTCAGGGAAATAAACAAGAGGGAGCAAACTTACATTTCAAATATTTATCACAAAACAGTGGAACAACAACATTTGAATCTATATCGTTTTGTCGGACCCTGATGTGAGGCTCAAGTGGTATCTCAAGTCTGACTCCTCACCCACTCCTTCAGTGTGCAAGTGGTTTGGATATGTCCGAGTAAACTCGCAGTTTTTCAGGCAAGAGTACAAATGCGAGTTGATTCGGACTTATTCAACGTAGAGTAAGAAATTAAGTTCATGGTTGGAACAAGACCGAACACAAGTGCGAGTCGATTCGGTATTTTCCACTAAACAGCGAGAAATTTCAAGTGCCAAAAAATCCGCACTTCAGAGGAACATTTCGATTACGCCGTGCAATAAGAAATTGCCTTCGTGGTTGGTTCAGTGGCGAGTTAACTCGCAAATACAAAATGACTTCATTCTTTTGGGCCGAGAAGATACGCGAATTATCGACTGAAGAGGAACAAATTTAGGGGGATGGGTGGTTGAAGAGCGAATAAATTCGCACTTGCAAACAAGCATTTCCAGTATGAAACTGGGGCTTGTGGACTAAAGAGTCAAAAATTTGGGGGGATGGTTGGTTGAAGAGCGAATAAATTCGCACTTGCAGACGAACATTTCCACTATGAAACTGGGACTTTTGGAYTGTAGAGTAAGAAATTTARGGGGATGGTTGATTGAAGAGCGAATAAATTTGCACTTGCAAACGGGCATTTTCATTACGAAACTGGGGGTACAAGTGCGAGTTAATTCTGACCTATGGACTAAACAGTGACAAATTAAGGGGTTGGTTGGTTCAAGGGCGAATGAATTCGCACTTGTAAATGAGCATTTCCATTACGAAACTGCGGGTACAAGTGCAAGTTGTTCCTGGCTTGTTCTGCGTGTAGTACGAGCCACAGATCGTCGCAAGAGAGAAATAGGGAAAGATGGAGTGCTATTTTTTAAGATGGAGAAAGATTGCGAAGCGATGGGCAGACGGTGCATCGATGAAAATACATGGAGAGAGATGGCGCACCGAATGAGAGAGATGGCGCACCAAGAGAGATAGATGGAGTCACAGTCTTCCCCCGAATACAACGTCCGGTCATTACAGCTGAATTCGGGTCATCTTTCAGTCTAAAGACAACTGTAATGGAAGTGTGTTGTATATTCCGGGGAAGAAGGTGGATGGCGCAGGAAGGGAAAGAGATTGCGAACTGATTGGGAGGTGTGTCGCAGCGAGAGAGAGAGATTGCGCACCGATGGAGAAACATGGTGCAGCAATGGAGATAGCAGGCGCAGCGATGGTTAGCGATAGCACAACAATGGAGAAAGATGGCGCACCGAAGTAGATAGATGACGATGGAGATAGGTTAGGAAAGATAGCGCAGCGATGGAGATAGATGACGAAGGAGATAGATTAGGAAAGATAGCGCACCGAAGGAGATGGATGACGAAGGAGATAGATTAGGAAAGATACCGCAGTGATGGGGATAGATGACGAAAGGTCGGTAGAGATCGCGCATCGGTGGAGAGAGATAGAGAGAGGACGCGCAACAATGGTTAGCGATGCCGCAGCGATGAAGAGAGAAGGCACAGCGATGACGAAGATTTGTTATTGCATAACATCAGTTCGATCGAGTTAAACCTTCGTTAAGCATACCTGTCACCTGTTTCGTGCGATTCCACAGTGATGGGCGGCTGCACCGACGACGGCCTGAAACAACAATACAATGGCGATGGCGGGATCGCGCACGAGTAATGGAGAGTCTCTGGGGCAAGGATGGAGGTTGCCCGGTTGTCGAGAGAGATCGCGCAGTGATGGGGTGAGATGGAGAGTGATCACTCAACAATGGAAGGAGATCGTGCGGCGATGGAGAGAGAAATCGCTCAGCGTTGCGGTGGGATAACACTGGCCAGGGCCTCGATAGCGATGGCCAGCGCTGCGGTGGAGAGCGATGGCGCACCGGTGGAGAGCGATGGCGCGGCGATGGAATGCGTTACAATGGGGGATATAGCTTTGCGTCGCGATGGCGATGAGCTAAGCACATAGATGCCGATGGTGCATGGCGAACGTTGGCGATGGAGATGAGCTAAGCGCATCGATAACGATGGTGCATGGCTAAGCGCATCGATATCAAACGCCGTTGACATTTGCAAAATGTCTGAATGACAGCGACACCGGAACTTATAGATTTCCGGTGTTTTTGACCTCGGCGCACAACGAATCGCCGCGCCTCATCGGGAAATAAATCGTCGCCTGGCCTCGACGCGCAACGAACCACCTCGGCGCACAACGAATCGCCGCACCTTATAGATTCTTGCGCCTTACCTCGTGCGTCGGATCATGTCGATCGACGGTCCAGATTACAACTGTGAAAATCACATTGTCTGCCCCTTGTTTTCGGGAACTGTCACATCATTGCACACCGGAGTAGACGAAGATTTTGGGGCCACTGGCATAACAGTGGCTCCGTTCATTTGCGCGGTTGAAAATTGTTGATCGACGACTGACAATTTCCGGTACCCCTTACCGTTTATAGGCCCTGACGTTTTATGGGCCCAGGGGTGCCATACGCGAATCGATTCGGCCCCACCTTGATGGCGTTTCATGGGCCCAGGGGTGCGATATGCGAATCGATTTGGCCCCACCTTGATCCCGACGCGAGGCCTGCTACAACAAAGTATAAAAGGCGTTGCAGCCCTCGAGTTATCCCTTTTGTTGGCGCTCCACAGATCAAGTCGCGCTTTCGCTTCCGCGCGCGCTCTGATATTTGGTCTTCAGCCCCCCCCACCTTCCGCCATAGCCCGCTCACTCTTCGCTCTTCGCTCCGTCCGCAGTTGCCACATTGTGTTCAGTTCGCTCTTCGCTCCTCGCTCTTCGCTCTTCCTAGCTCGATATCCCTCCACCATAGCTGATTCGGTGGTTGGTTGCTCGCTCAACGCACGACGAAGGTAAAATCATATAACTTTTGTCCTATTCTGTGTCCGACGTCCGAACACATTCCCAGATGCCCTGTCTGTACCTGTAGGATGTAACGCCGCAGCGGCGTTCTGTTGAACCCCGAATCAATTCCCGGTTTTGTTGTTTCGCCAGTGGACGTGCTCTGATCTCTTTTCTCCACCCTCCACCTCCGTCCACC